AAGCCTTGTGTTTCTCTGTGTCCGTGTCGCGATCTACCGTTTTCCTAGCTGTGTGTTCTGTCATTCCTCCATGTCATTAAGTTTGTTTTGAGTTTTTTCAGTTATGTTATATTTTTGAGTACCAAATTAAAGCCTTTTTGAGTTTACATCTGTCTCCGGAGTCTGCACCTTGGGTCCTATTCCTGCCTGCACACAGCCACACCTAACAATGCCAGGGTGGTGGAAAGGAGAGTCCATCTGTTAGTTGAACCTCAGATACAGGAGGAACAATGCGGTTTTCGTCCGGGCTGCGGAACACTGGACCTAGCCTCTTAAGGATATTTCAGGGTGGGTGGGAGTTTGCTCAACCAGTCTACATGTGTTTTGTGGGAGTATTCTATGGGAGGTGCTTCGGGTGTATGGGGTGTCTAGCTTGATGTTATGAGCCATTTGGTCCTTATAGAACCACTGCAAGAGCTTCATTCACATTGCAAATCATGCTCTGCACCGGAGGGTTCGAGTTAGGGTTCAGGACCGGCCAGTGGAGCACCTTTGGCTCAGGCAAACCAGGACCAGACGGCAGTGCTGTGACCTCTTGCCTGTATTCCTGATGCTGGGGTTGCACAGGGCACACAGCTTGCGGCACTAGAGCCTGAAGGACACCCATTATCTGAGCCCGCATCAGAACCCAAGGCTGCCAGGCAGCCCCCACCAGCACCTGAATTTGAGCCTGAATCAGCGAGTCCTGCATCAGCAGAATTCAACCCCCAAAAATCAGTACTTGTTGGTCTCAAGCAACCAGAACCTGCGTCCGAGGTTTCCACATCACCGGAGTCCGAGGCCCTCTGACGCCAGCCAAAATAGTCACTTGTAGTGCATTCATAAATGATTTAAGTTTGTCATGAAAAACTTCACTAGGTTAATAAGAAACTGTATTAAAAGTAATCATCAGCACTTAGGAACCAAATAATGCCTGACTGGTCAGGTTGTATTCCTAGGTTTGCGTGTCTGCAATAAGTGGGGCTTAGAATAAAAATATTAACACACTTTATGTCAAATACAGGAATAAACTTGTTCTTTCTGTTGAGTGCATGTATACAGCACCAACTATAAAGTCAAGGCACTTTTTATTATATAGTAAAGACCCTATGATATTACAAAGAGAACTCCAACTATCAGAAAAACAAGCACTTGATTATAGTGGATAGAAAGAGCTACTAAAAAAACAGTTCTATAATTCAAACGTGATTTTTTTCACATTACAGGAAAAAAGTTCCAATTAATTTTTCATCAAGTAGCTTTTACCAGAAAAATGCCCCAGTCAGTCCACAACTCACCAAATTCTTCTCTGACACAGAGCAATATGCTCCCAGCAAGATACGAATCACAGCCAGATGATTGTAGCGGGCCGCCACATGTAGACAGGTATCACCTGCCTGCAAGAAATAATCACTGGTAAATAATTTTACAGCATTCACATTCCTCAGGTCAAGGTAGTAAATCTCCCCAAACA